GTTTCCTCCAGAAGGAACAGGTGGACCTTTGTGGAGAAGTGTCACGTGAACCAGCCTTGGGAGGGTGGACAGGGTGTGTCTGTGGACCCCAGGATGGACAGGCAGCCGGGAGGGGTAGCGTGAGCGGGGGAGAGTCGCCCTGAAGAGGACCGCACAGGGATGAGAAGCAGGCTTGAGAAGGGGTGTTGGGTTCACTGCTGTAGAACTGGGGGACCCTGGTGGTTGCGAGCATGAATGCGCCGAACAGAACTTCGGGACAATCAACCCGCAAACAGAAGGTCAGGTGCGTCTGCACGTGTGTGCGCGGTCTGCGTGGGGCACTCAGGGCTTCTGTAAGAGTCACAGGAAGATAAGGATGGTCTACTCTAAAAAAGCGGTAGAAGAGCGGGGAGAAGCAGTTGGGAAGCTATTTTGGAGACAGAATTGGCAGGAAGCAGCCGCTGATTGGCTGCCAGATTCATCATCCCGAAGAATAGCTCTGGCCCTGTCACTCAGCGGCACAAAGACCTTCAGTGGCTTCCCATTATCTGCAGAGCAAAGTCACCGTCTCATCCCGCTGGCTTCCAGTGAGTGTGACCGGCGTGTCCCCCGTGGCCGGCCCCAACCTGGGCTTCAGGTCTGTGCTCCACTCCACCCGTCCTCACTGCAGAAATGGTCTCCAAATACCCCCACCCAAAAGCGGGCGCTTCCTCCCAGAGGCGCTCCTCGCCTTCCTCTCCCTGTTGGCATTCTTGCCCCTCTTGTCTAGTTGCCCGTGGAACTTTTACTTTCCCCTCAAGGATGACCTCACAATGACCGTTTTCACGGATCCTCACCCCAGCCTTGCCTCTCCCTTCTCTGAGGAACTCTTCACACATAATCTGTAGCTCCTTTTCATTTGTATCAAATTTCAAATTGCACTTGAGTCATTTATAAATCTGCATTGTCTTCCCTGTCGGTCTGTACAGTTTCTGAGAACAGAGAGTGGTTCTGATGTGTTTTCTTAGAACCACGGCATCTAATATGATCAGGAACTGGTTGAGGAAACAGATGAGAGAGTAATTACACAGACAACTTTCTGACGGAAGGTAACTACAGCAAGATTCCTCTACCTACAGGCAGCAAACAAAACGCAGCCAATAAAGAAGGAGAAAACGGGAAGAACTTCCTCCTGAGCCCCGTCTGCGGACACACGGTCCCCCGCTGGGTGAGACTGAAACTCCGAGGCCTCATCTCCCAGCCCCTGCTGACACCTCCCCTCACCAGACTTCTTGCCTCCAGATTCTGATCTGAACGAGCAGGTGGAATCCGATTTAAGACCACGGACGACCAGGGAGGAACTCGAGGCTTTGATAACCCAGATCCCAGAGGAATCAGAAAAGGAGGCTGATGGTAAATCCGAGCCGACGGAGCGTGGGCACATGGACACAGACCACATGGCAGCTTCCGCGGGCCCAGTCACACGCGCGCGGGAGTCCGCCCCGCGCCTGCAGGCTGATGTGTCCAGACGGGGACGGGGCCCGGCAGCCGGATCGGGTGACCGCCCTGCCTCATCTAATAAGCACTCTCCCACTCTCCTTAGGCTTCGCGGAAATGGACCCGAGGTGTGGGAGGCCCAGCACAGCTGACCTCCAGCGGGGCCAAGGGGGAGCCCTGCACCGCCTTCCTCACGCTGGATGAAGTGCCGGACGGCGGTGACTGCAGAGCGAGGACGGGCGGCGGTGTCCCTCGCCTGGGCGCCCCATCGGGCTGCCATCGGTGTGAAACACTCTGGAGCCGTGTGCGTCCAGGCCCCCAGCCCCTCGCTCCTGCTGCCGGGTCTGGCTCCGGGGAGCAGGAACGAATGGGGACACGCAGCCGCCCTCTGTCCCCTGTCCCCACACGTGAGGAGCCCCTCCCAGTTACGCACACGGCATGCCGGCTTTGCTTTAGACTTGAAGTCTCCTTCGAGACGCGTGTTTGGTGGAGCAGACGCCCCACCAAGGAAGCGAGTCTCTGGCCTCAGATTAGCTAAGCAAGTTGTCCAGCAGAGACTGGCGACCAGCGACTGGGCACGCAGCAACCAGGGCCTGGGGCGGGCGCGGCCGCATCTCCTCGCAGCCTGTGGGTCCCTGGGCGGGTCGTGCCTCGGCCTGCGCTGCGCGTGCGGCATCGCGCTCCAGTACAGGCACTGAGGGTCTAACCGTGCATGTGACCACGCTCCCTGCGCGAAGCTCGGATCCTCAGGTGGCAGTGAGATGCGCCTGCAACCTCCAGCCACTGTGCGAGATGCTACCTCAGGCGCCTGGGCTTTGGGAAGCAGGTTCGTGGGAAGGGCGGAGTCTAAGGGGCCCAAGGGCACAAGGCGAGACCTGGGACTCCAGGTGCAAGGACGCCCCCGCAGGAGGGGCTCCCAGAGGGCCCGCGGCTGCGGCAGCGCCGCCTGCTGGACTTCTGAGGACCTGAGCACAGGTAGTAAGTCTGACATCCTGAGTGCCGCTCTAGATGAGCATGATTTAGGTGTATTAATTAGTTTGAAATGACTATTTCTTTTCCTTTTGCAAAAGTTAGGAATCCTGCAAGGAGGAGGAAGGCTAGACATCTCCCTCCAAGAGCCGGGATGGAAAAAAGACCCTCCTTGACGTCCCAGTGGACCTCAGAGGAGCCTCGGGGACGGGGAGGACGGGCTCCCACTGCAAAGAGCCTCAGGGCGTGGCCCCAGCGCCGTGCTGGTCCCACCCTGGACTGAAATGAGTGAAGCAGTATTTATACTTCTGTTCTAGAGACATTGTACATTTTTTCCCTCATAGTGCTGCTTCCTTTATTTTTTTAATTAAAACATTTGTTTTAATTGAAGTGTAGTCAGTTACCATGTGTCAATCTGTGAGTCATGTTTAAATGTGATCTTAACATAGAGGAATAAGCCATTACTAATTTGAAAGCCGCAAGGAAGCCTGAATGGCACAGCCCATTTCTCTTCACACACAATTTTATAAACACGTTTAGGGCACAACCCTCACCCTGGCATGGAGCTCGTTACAAACTTACCTCTGTAACCTCCCTCCCTCCCTCTGCGAAAAACAGGACACTCACTAACCTGGCAAAGAAGAAGTAACTCTTTTCATCACGTCTTTAAGTTTGTAACAGTTTTAGGAGACAGCTCATGGGATTGTTTTTGAAAACCACAGGACGAAAGGTCTTTACTCTTTCATTTAGTAGAAATGATAAACCTCGATTGTCTCATATTTAATTTTTTAAACTTTATATATTCGTTTATGTTTTAATTTGGGGGGAGGTAATTCGGTTCATTTATTTATTTACTCATTTATTTTAAGTGGAGGCAGTGGGGGTTGAGCCCGGGACCTCGCATGAGCCAAGCACACGCTCCACCACTGAGCTGCGCCCTCCCCGGTGAAAGTCTGTTTTGCTTTGTCTTTTGTTTTGGAGGAGGGGTACCTAGGTTTGTTCATTTGTTTACTTGATGGGGGGCTGGGGTTGAACCCAGGACCATGTCTGCTAAGCACACGCTCTGCCCCTGAGCTGCGCCTTCCCTGATTGTCCCGTATTTAGATCATAGGGTGAAATGACATATGTTTTTGAAAACTCTTTAAAAAGCAAACTGTTAAGAGTTCTCTAAGTGAAACTGCAACTTCCCTGTCTGTCTGTGTAACTGCCCGGACGCCAGGAGAAGCCCGCACACGCCCTGGTGGGCACACAGAGTGAGCGGCTGCACAACGGCGAACGGCCGGTGCCGACCACTCGGGGCACCGCGCTGACCCACGACGCTCCCTGCGCGAACATCACCATAGGATGCCTTCTCTTCCCCACAGATCCAGGTTACACTCATTTTCAAGAATCGTCCCAAATCCCACCTGTTGGTGAACTTCCGAGGGCCGCCCCCACCCCGGGAACAGGGCCCCTTCCGCGTCCTCCGTGCAGCTGCTGCACCCAGTCGCGGCGGGAAGCCTCCACGGAGCACGCGCGCTCCTCTGGCGCCTGGACCGTCCTTCAGGGCTGTGCGCCTGCCTGTCACTGTTTACCCTTTTCTGCGTTCGCCTCTTGTGTCCTCAAGGAGGTTTCCTGTCCTGGGCGAGGGCGGCACCTCACACAAGTTTAACGCTTGCCCCCAGGGACATCCAGTGGGCGAAGGCCGGTCTATGAAGACCGCGGTGCAGCCCTGACAAGTGCAAACTGGGACGCACAATGCCTTCAGTGACGTCCCCACGCGAGAGAGAGCCTCCATCCGGGGGCTCACTTTCTGCAGCAGTGTATACGCTTGATGACATGAACCCCTGGATGAGTGTGTTCTGGTGCCTTTTTACAATTATAGCGAGAATAACGGTGCCCACAACCCTGCAGACCCGCGCAGGCTTCACGCTGTAAACCCCAAGTGAAGCACTCACCCGCGTGCGTTTGCCAGTAAGTGTGAGCTCGGCTCGTAACAGTCACTGTGGCTTCTTCCCGACAGTCGCCGTTTAGTAGCTTCCCGTATGACACTGAACCTCTGATCTCCCAAAAGTATGATCTTACTAGTTGCTCTGTCTTCACAGCCACCACCCGCTTGAATTGGAATTGGAAGTAGCCAGGGTCTGTCTGAAGCCTGTCTCTACCGCCTGCGCACTTCTCTCCTCAAAGGCTCTTCTCCCTGCACTTCCTGTCCTTCCCTCTTCCCGCCCTCATCCACGCGCACGCAGTTACCTCTCTCCAGCCGCGTCTCTCCACTGCCCCTGGGCCGAGAAGCACATCCCAACACTTGGAGAAAAGTTCTGCGTGTGGCATTTTGAGCACTTGAAACTGGATTTTTTTTAAATTAAATAAAACACATCTTCATTTAAAATTTCCCCAAGGACCCTCCTTGGTCAGAGCGGCCTGGAAAGGCTTCTGTGAGTCAGGTGAGAAGTCCGAGTTACAGGTGGGAGCGGGGGGGTTCTCTGCCCTGTGTCCTCCCCCACGACGGCTCCACGTCCCCCTCCGCCTCACTGGGGAATGCTGCGGACAGTATTACGCCCGCCTTTTCACACTGCTGGACACACCACTGACGCTGGGGTAAAACCTTAGTGCTTACTTGTACCCACAAGATCGTGCTTGTCGCTTTGGGTGCGCTGGGTTCCCAGAAGTAGGACATGAACAGTACAGCCGACGTCAGCTGCCGAAGATGTGTTCCAACTGGCCTGCGCCTGCCCAGGCCGCTGCTGCTAAGAAAATGCTGCCTCTTGAAAAGAAGGTGGGGCAGGAAACCACTGGGGCTGCCGCTTCAAGCATGGAAGCTGGTGAGAGGAACTGCATGCACTTGACTTGCCTGCATCCTGGCAAGGGGAGAAGACCCACCACAACTGGGTGGAGAGGAAAGAAACGAAGCAGGGATGACGCAGCCAGCCCGGCACGCGCACGCGTGCGTCTACGGGGACCGCCCACCCTCTAGAGTTGCCGTAACAGAATGCTGGCCTAAAGCAAAATGAAGTCATGGTCACAAAGCAGGTGAACCAAGAGAGAGAAGAACTTCGGAGGAGCTGGTTTCCAGCTACGTGTTTACGCTTCACACGGAGCCTAGTGACTTCTCCAGACGACTGTGGAGCGGGACCGGGCAACTCCCACGCCGGCCCGGCGGGCCCAGCCGTCTCGGGTTAGAGCTGCCCGCCAGAGCGAGCACCGCCTCCAGGCCGTCCAGGCTGTCGGCATCAGGCTTGTGCCCTGCTCCTCCCTGCAAAGGGCCCCAGTAAGGAGCAGGGGCAGGCTCCCGCGCCCCACCAGAGCGCGGGGCACCCTGCAGAAGAGACCCGCCCAGGACAGCAAGTCCAGAGACACAGGGTGAGAACCAGGGGGAGGCGAGACGCGTGGAGCGCAACGCTTCGCCCTAAGCAAGGAGACCGAGACATGGAGAGCGGAAGCAGCTCGTTCAGTCATCCCCTAACTGTAAGGAGAGCTGAGCAGAGGTGAGGGCCTTAGCATAAGCGCCGGCACTGTGTGTTAGCCACGGGCGCAGGGTCTCACTGAGAAAATAAAAAGGGCCACAGAAAGGAGAGGACGACAAAGGGTGACCGAAACGTCCAATGTTAGGTGCAAGTCCCTTCTGAGACATTACTGGGAAAGAGAAGTTTCCTGGTGGTGGTGGTCATCTTTGCCATGTTGGAGAATCATGGGGTATGTCCAACCCAACTGACGGAACCAAACCAGGGGAGCATTTCTGACTCCGGGACAGACCTGAAAATCAGTGAAGGGCTTTGGGAACGGCCCCCCTCACGCTGCCCTTAGTGACGTGCAAATCCAAGGGCAGGGGCACGTAGGGAGGCCGACGCCCAAGGTTACAGACGGTGGTCCACGTGCCCACTGAGGAGAATGGTGGTGGGGGGGCGGGGAGCAGCAGAGCCGTGCAGGGAGGGGAGAGGTGCAGAGATCTGGTGCTCAAGGCTGTTTTCTGAGACAGAGGCCTACTTTTCTAATGCTGATTGCCCCCCCCCACATTTCAGTGATGCCTCTGAAGCAAAAACAAGTGATTCGATCTGCACGTGTTGAGTTCTGAAGCTGCGAAGAACCAGATGTAAATGGCCACCGGCCATCCTCTGCCTTCCACACATCTAACCCCTGGCCAGCTGACGTCGGTGGACACTTATCCTGGGCCGAGTGCATTTTCTAACATATTCAAAATTAGCATAAACGAAATGTTATGTATCAAAAATGAGAAGTCACATCTAGTCTCACCAATGTCATTGTCCTTCCCATCAAGCTGACCCTTTGATCAGACGCTGTTTTGATCATTAACTTTAAAACTGGGTGAACAGGTGGCCTAGCCCGTTTGTAAACAGGTGTGTTAACTTGTCCCCGGAGAACAGACACAACACTTCTTGGCTCGCACTATGGGTGTGGGTCTCTTAGGGAAAAGGATTGTTTTTGAGCTAACGAAATCCCAGTAACAGCAAATTAGCTTAAAAAACATTTGGCCAGTGAAGCTACCTCCACCCTTGTTCTCGGGTCTACAGGAAGAACTGCAAAAGACATTGCAAGCTTCATCACACACAGTCCGTGGAAAACTCCGAGTGTTAGCACAGTACCAAGTGTGCCACATTAGCCAAAGAGGAAGTCATAAATTAGTCTGAAGTTTATCCGAGCAAACCATTCAGGTTTTCCGTCCCGCCGTAGACCAGCATCCAGCATCGAGCAGCACTTCTCACGTCTGTGTCATCACAGACTTCCATTTTTAAGCAAAGACAAGGCAGCTTTCAGATGTCTGGGCTACTCAAATTCCTGGACTCTGAGAAAATACAAAGCACTAACTCTAATGTAACTTTTCTCCTGCAGGATTTCATCACAAAGTCCTCAATCCTGAACGGGCAGGGATGCTCAGTCAGCTCTGACTCCAGAGGGAACACGGCAGAGAGTCGTCTGCACGCCTCAGTGCGTGGCCAGCTTCTAATGCGGATTCTCTCCTCTTCCGTTTGATGTCCCTTCAGCCAATGGGAGCCCATGCGTGAACCATGTCGCTGCCCCATTCAGCCGCCCGCGTCAAGGCGGACAGCTGATGTCACAGACTCCAGTCCGAGTGAGTGAGCAGGACGCAGGGATCTTCCTGTGGCCCTGGGAGGCTGGTCCTGAGTCACCATCGGCGCTCAGCCGCGCCTGACTCAAGCGCTCTGCTGTGGGTGTCTGGCAGGCCCAGCTTTAAGATGTTCAGAAATTGCCAGACACCTGACGTTTGACCACCACTCTGTCCCCAAAATATAAGTTTGTTTACTGTTTCATGTGTTCTCAGGTAAGTAAAGACCTGTGCCAATGGCAACTGCATCTCATAAGGGACTGACAACATACAGCGTGAGGAATGAGGACCAGCTCTCCAGGACCATCCCAAAGCTGGAGTTTTTAGCTCTGGATTTTATAAGAAGGCAACAAACTCAACTCATATATTCAATCAAGTAGAGAAATATGATTATCCGATGCCATGCAATTGAGAGCTGATTTTCAGAAGGATCCCCCGGATCCCTGAAGTATTAATCATCTCAGGGAGGGCCGGCAGTGATCACCCTCCTTCCCTGAACTCAGCCAGCAAAATGGTTTAATCTATTTCAAAATGTATTCAAGACAAAGCAGATAGAGAAACATTGTGATTGCCCTTCACCAGAAACTTACATGCTAAAATCAAAGTATATATTCATATATAACATAGATACAAAATATAACATGTATAGATTTCATCTATGCTATACATGTGTAATATAACACATTAACAATAGCCATATTATGTTTATGTTTATATATCTAAATATTCAAATTTATAAATATATGCATATAACATAAAATATATATTTATATACTATATTTTAACATAGGCATAATTTTATATCTACACCCTGATTCATACGGGCTAGAAATTTATCTTAGTCTGGGCTCTGCACACAGTAGGTGCTCAATGCATGTAGGTTCTATGAGCTGTTCATGGCCGTGCTAAGAGTGAAGGGAGGAGCCGATTTTCAGGAGCTGTGCCTTTAATTTTCAGCCCTGACTTTGGTCTTCTTCCCCCAGGAGACGGTGCGCGGGCGCTCGGGCAACCCGTCCTTGGACTCTTGTAAATGCAGAACCTAAACCTAATTCACACATCTTCAGGTGGGGTTTGAGGGGAGTAGAACATAAGGGAGAACCGTCACCCCAGCAGCTGGAATTCCCCTGGAAGAAGACACAGCCCCCCACCCTGAAGCCTGAGCCAACACCTGTCCTGGACGCGGGGGCCTCGGCGCCAGCCCGCCCGCCCAGCCCACTCGGGCGTCTGTCCTGCTTCTCTGGGGCACTCGGGCCAGGAGGGGTCTGGGAGGGGCGGGGTTGCACTCATCACATGGCACTCACACCACACTGGCCACTTCAGTCAGGCACCACATTTGTTCTTCCGGTCAGACACTCTGCGCCCTGAAAAGAGCCAGTGAAGAAAGCAGTTTCCCTTGGCGGTGGGGGGAAACAAACAAGGAAAAGAGAAGGAAAAGGCAAAAACAAAGCCAGTTGCTCTTGAAGATAAACGGCGCAGACTCTGCCGAGAACTGAGACCATTCATGCCGAACAGCAGGGCGTGAGGTCAGATGTTTTAATCCAGAAAATGCAGACAATTATGACCCATCACGTAGGCCCCTGAGAAATCAGAGCCACAGGCTCTCTCAGCGCAATGGCCCTACTGCTCCATGTGTTCCCGGTGCAGGGATCACCGTTTCCCAGAGGAAGCCGGCAGGTCTGTCTGCAGAGAAGGCTGGTGTGGATGAGGCCATGGCTGCCGTGAGCACATGCACAGGACAGTTCAGTCTTGTCACCCCCTGGCGTCAGGACGAGCTCCCCTCTTTCCCGCCATGGTGACAAGCCCAGCCAGACAACAAACAGCTGGATGGATGCCCCAGGACCACACATCCGTGGTCTCCATGCCCTTCTAATCAACTTCCTAATTAGAAAACGCCTCGCTGGCACGAGGTGTGCAGGGCGGCCCACCACATAGCAGCCCGCAGTCCTGGCCTTGCTGGGAGCCTCGCTCTTACAGCTGCTGCTGCGTTTTCCTAGTGCAGAGACAGAATCAATTCGCTTGCGCCTGGCCCTCAAGACATATTAAATTTATCCTGAAGGAAACTGGTTTCTGAAAAGCTCTTGCCCAGATGCATCAGGCAGGTGGGATTTCAGTGAACCAGAGGGTCCACTGGCAGATGCAGCATTGATTTCTGAACGTTCACAATCTAGCAGACAGCTCCAGAGCAGCCCTGATTTGATGGCTCTCCACGGGGTGCCCTGCAGACGCGATTATCTCCACAACCAGTCTGACTAGCTTTGTTTCCCGGCGACCCGGCCCTGAGCTTTCTGCTTCTGTTTAGATGCGAGAGGCTGGGGGAGCACATGCACCAGGGAGGAGGGATTGGGCCACGTTTGGAGTCTGTCTGCAGGAACTGTCCAGCCTTTTCAGGGCTGAAGGATCGAGGGGTGACTTCGACTCCTCTGAAACCATTCTGTTGAGTACCATTCAAATACACTCTGAGCCCAGGATGAGAAAACAGCAGGCAGGCACCACTCAAAACTGGGTTGGAGCTAGAAAGCCTCTAACAAAAATTTCTGTCAACATCCTAAAAAGAGCTCCCACCCCATAAATTTTTAATCCCTGAGTTCCTGATTGAGAGACCTAAGCCCGACTCTCCACCCCTGCAAATGTCTCAAGCGAAGGTCCAATAATCTTGAGGTCATTTTCTCTAAAGCCATTTGAGTGCACCGTCTAAGCAGTCAGACTTCAGCATAAAGCAGTCAGTGTGCAACATCGAGTTACAAAGTTCCTTTCAACTGCTTTCACGAGTACCCAGATATGTCTACAGCAGCCTCACACAAC